TCTTCTGCGAACTCATAATTCTTCTGCAATGATGTCTAAATTCAGTCGGAAACTAGCTTTTCTTGTAAATCCGTGAGCGTTTATTACTGGATCTTCAAACTCTCAACCGTTTGGCTGTAACGTAAGATTTTTGCCGTAACTTACAAATCACTAGAAAAATCATTACTAATGAGCTAACCATTTAACTGTGCAGGCCAATTTTATATTAAAATTTACTTTTTTTTTATCTAATATATCTTTAACCATAAAGTTTTGGGGCAAAATCAATACAGGGTTATCGAGAAATAATTATCAAACCTTTCTCAATTTGCATTTTAATGTACGAGTCAGGGGTATTCCCGCCCAAAACAATATTGAATTTGAACTAATCTGTCGACTGAGATCCTCTTCGGGTATCAATGTGGTCATCGATATTTCTAGTTTAGTTTGGGCTTCTCATTTAAGAACAATTATTTTTTTAACATATCCCGTACAGTATAAAAAATTTCCCTTTTATTTTTCACCGACTTCTCATCCACATGTTTGAGAGAAAATCTTCTAACAATAGAGAAATCTCATTTGACTTTTTTTTTTTTCAAGTAATGCAGGTGCACCTTATTGTCATTCTTTTCAACAAGTATGTTCCTGCAGCGAAGACGTCGAGATGAACTTGTCGAAATTAACATAAATATTCAAAATGAAAAAAATAAAAATAAAACTTGGCGAATCGGGAAGTTTTGGTTGAGTTTTTTGATTTAATAGCAGTTTGATTTGGCACATGCTTTGTTTTTGCTTTTCGCAACCAAAAAATTATGAACAAATATTCCTTAGCATAAACAATTTGGACGTTTCTGGGATAATGGCTTGCGTAAACATTACAAAAAAACTACCTCCAACCAAAAATTTTGTACAAACTGGCTGATGCATTACCAGTTCTGTTGTAAATCAGATCGAAGATTTTTATTCAAATTTTCCTCAAGCCTTTTGGTTAAGGAGAATATACTAGCTTTCTTTTGTCTGTTTTTTTAGCCCAAGCGAAATGTCACGGGAAAATCAAAATAGCTACGGTTCAAATTATCGTGTTTCCTACCTTACTTGGATTTGTTTCTCGGCTCCTGTTCGTAGAAAGATGAATCTACAAGGCAACAAAAAATAAAAAATCAAATAAACTTCGTTATATCTTCAAAAACTTAGCACAAATAGGGATCTGTTCCAAGAAGATGCTGCGCGTTTAAGTGACTGTTATGAACAACTACTGTTATATTCAACCTACCGTCACTTCTGAGACATATTTAACCTGTTCTTCAGGAACAGATTTTAGCGGCAATCCCACTGATCTAACCCGAGGAGTTTTAGATTTTGGTGTGACATACTTCGAGCGGTACATGTTCAGTTAGGGAAAAATTGATCGAGGTTGTATTTAGATTTTGTCGGCGCACTCTATCTTACAGCTGTTTCCGCGTGGTTTTGTGGACGTAAATTAATTCATAGTATGAATTGTTAATCAACAAAATACCCGCTGAAACAGAATTTTTAGGACTCAACCTCCATTAGGTGGTTATCATGATACCCGCGAGAATTGACAAAATTTATAGTTTCGAATTCAAGGGCCTTGGATATTTCAAACTTGCAGAATCAAGTGTATGTTATCATGACAAGTATATTATTTTTCTACTAAGATAGGGATTTATTCTAATCTTTGAGTTTGGTTTTCTATTTTGACTGCTTTAATCTTCTTTGTCTCCATGGTTACCAACAGGCAGCAGGATTTCGATGTCCATTAACAAATATACGTGCATATTTTCGCACCAAAAGGAGGCTAGTGCTTATTTCTGAAAGATGCGAAAGTTGGAAATACAAGAAAAATCGTGATTGATATGCTAGGCAATGAGAACAATACTCTAATAATCCAATGAAAGAAAGGATGCAATCAGGCCTTTTTTCAGCAATTCAATTAATTTTGTTTAAAACTTTCTGGTCTTTTAAGAGGCCAAGGATGTCTTTTTCCCCTCACTGCTTTTATGACAAGTCTAAAATGTGATTTTTGGTCAGTATTTTGGTGTATTTCATTTTGTGTTATCACTTCAGTCGTTGAGGTCTTGGAAAAGCAATACGGAAATATAACAAAAAAACGGGATTGGACGTTGCTATGTACTTCTATTCAGATTCTTGGTAACCTAATGATCAAGCAAATTTGGTATGGTTGACATTCGGTCATGAAAGCTTGCACTTGGCAACAATTTGCAAAATAATAGCAATGACGATAATAATAATAATAATAATAATAATTATAATAATAATAATCATTATAAAATTAAAAAAAGAAAGGTCTAATTGGAAGGTCATCTCTTTTACTTTTTAGAAAACAATTGAAGAAAATGGCCTCGATAAGTTGAAACGATGCCACAAGTTACTTGTCACAAGAGTGCATAAGAAAAAACCGTTCGCCAATAAACGGGCTTTTAATTACTTCAAGTAGTTTAAAATTTGGAAAATATCTCGTCATTTTGTGATACACGCCATATTGTTTCTTTTATCTTACACATCTCACATAACTGATAATAATTGCAGCTTAAAAATTGTTTGCATTGTATTTTCAGATTGTGAGACCTTTCCTACAAATATTGTTGTGAAGTATTCTGCTCGTTACAAACAAGGAACGATCGCTGAACAAAGCTAAACTAATTGTTTTTCTTTTTGCACCATCG